GCCTAGAGTTGAAGTTGGTGCTTCCGGTAATCCGCATGATTCAGCAAAGCATAGGGAAACACCTTGTTTATCTGGCACTCGCCAAAAGAGAGCTGGTTTCCGACTTTCCATTTTGCCGCTTTCTATTTCTTAGAAATGTTTTATTGCGGTTCTAGTTTAGCCGCCACACCCTCCTCCCCGCGAAGAAGAAGACCTTGCCTGACCTCCTAGTATGTGAGCCCACAACATGGCGTTCACAGGTAAGAATATTCCTGATACATATTTGCATGGCTTTGTTTGTTTGAAGTCTTGTTCAAACTGCGCAGAGTTACGCGTATACCCAAAATACAATTAATATTTGGGTAAGGAACCCGTTGACGAGCAAAATATGCCAATCCAACCACAACCACTACTTGGAGGGATTCAAACCTACTTTTTTTTGGGGGATAAAAAATACATACTCGGAGGGGTTCAGACCTACTTGGAGGGCACGACACGCCAGAGCCAGCATTATGACAGAGCTAGTGTTGCTTAATATACTCCTAGTCAAGCCCATATATATAAACAAGGAGCCGAAGCTCTTGATCGACCAGCCCCCATCCCATGGCCAACAGAGTAAATTACACGGCGCTGGCGCCCAGAGAGTCGCCGGCCAGGCCGACGACGCTGCACGACATCCCCGACAAGCTCCTCAAGCTCATCCTCTTGTACCTCACCTCACCCCAATGGCTCGTCCGAGCTGCGGCCACCTGCAAGCAATGGCGCCGCATCATCGTTGACGCAAACTTCCTCTCCTACATTGATTCCAGCCCCCATCCCTCATCTCTTGTTGCAGGCCATTATCATAACCACACATCCCCTGTTGACGGTCGCCGCCTCAGCTTTGTTCCTTCCTCGCCAGCGCCGGCTGTCAGGAGCCGCCACTTCTCCCTGGACTTCCTCCCTGCAGGCGGCAGAAGGTCATGGGAGATCGTTGATAGCCGCCACACCCTCCTCCTCCTTGCCAAGAAGAAGACTGGGTGGAGACGTCATACCTTGCCTGACCTCGTAGTCTGCGAGCCCCTCACACGGCGTTACCAACTAATCCCACGCATGGAGGAAAAGAAATACCACCGATGCATTGGTGTATTCCTCCATGGTTTCAATGACAGAGGAGATACCTCGCGGTGGGGCCGTGCCATCGATGAAATGTCGAGTTTCAGAGTGATTTGCCTGCTCTTCAATGATCACATCGGGGTATGTGATAACATTGGCACGGCGAATGCCTACGCGTTCGAAGAGGGATGGAGGGGGAAGCGTGCCAGCTGGTTCATCGTCAAGTACCCAGAGAGGGCCAGTCCTGAATTCCACTTCCATGCCACGGAATCCCTGCATTTTCTTGGTCGTGCCCAAATTTCTATCTTTTGGGCCATGCAAGATGACCCTTCCTCTATGCTAACCTATAATTTCCAGTGGAAAGACGAGTTTGAGATCCTCGCATTGCCGGACCACATCCGAGGATCGGCTTTGTGGGTTCTCGATATCAACGATGACGACGACGACAAGGTGCATCTTGTTTGCTTGCAGGGCGACAACCTTCGCATCTTTGCGGCAAGGCGGTATGATAGTCCCGACTGGGAGCTTCAGAAGAGCATCCAATTAATGGAGGCTACCCGTGGACTAGAAGGGCACAAGGATGAGTACTTTCGTCAGTCTACCAAGATTGTCTCAACCAGCACGAGCTCTATCGTGTTTTCTATGGCAGAGGGGAAATGGCTGTTTTCCATCGACTTTGAGAGCATGGAGGTGGCGAAATACAAATACAAGCCGCATTCTTTTGAAACCGTAGCTTATCCGTGTGAGCTTCCATGGCTACCTGCCATTCGTGCTTGTATTGTGCCTTGTACTACTAAGAGACGGGGCAATCGCGGATGTTCTGGTATTTGTATATGTCGAAGTCTCTAACTACATTTGTGTATACCATAATGTCCTCATGGAGTGAAAACTAGGGAGATTCATCTGAATGCAAGGACTTAATCGATCAGTTGAAGGTTGCAGCTAAAGCAATTGGTTCAAGTATGCTTGGCGCTTTATTTGCTGCAACAGAATATCAAACATGTATTTAAATTAGAATTGTCCATAAATCTTTAGATTAAAAAAATACATTGTTGGGAGCCATACAGTCAATGTTCAAGGGCTCAATGTACACTTTTTTATCTTCCTCTGAACTTCGGCATTGAGGCCAAATGGCAAAGACATTCCTCTTGGCTTTATCTACCATCAGCTATCATCTGGATTGGGTAGTTCCATTGCTTCATGCCTATTAGCCCGGAAATTGATGGTTGAAGGTTATATGCTGATAGTGTTTTTGGTATCAGCATTCACCATATATTTTGGCAGGTTTTTGACCAAGGTCCAAAGGCGCCGCGGTAGCCAGATGGGCGATGGAGTACTGTAGCTGTGTAGAAACTTCAGGAGAAGAGGACCACCAGCCAGGTTAGTACTTAGTACGTACATTGTGTTTTTATTTTTGATGTGACTGATGCGAATGCGCTATTTGTCCTACACTAAAATGAGCTAATTAATTCACTTGATTTTGTGTGTGATTTGAAGCTCCTTGCCTAGAATAAATGAAACAGTAAAACCTTCATTTAACTAGAATGAGGCAAAGCACTTAATCTTGGGCATAGACATCAAGCTCAGAAGATTGGGTCAGCCACTGTAAATCTTTTTTTTTTGCTTGGGAGGTAATACCAATTCAATTTGCGCAAATATTTGTTTAGCTTATACCAAATTTTAGTTACAAACTGAGAACTTTGATCAAATTATAATTCCAGATTCATAATGCATCGTATGCATTAGCACTTCCTGCATTGTTAAACCCATATGTATTAGCACTTTTGACTTTTAGTTTAAAAGTACTTTGTTTGGTCCATGAGTGCACAAACCGAAACTTCGTATCTATTTCTTTAATGACAGTCAGGATCTTCCTGGTCTGCGGTGATTCGGTAGGTTGATGTTTATCTACACGCACTACTGGAATTTCCGTATACGCCGGGTCCTGGACATGTGACACTTTCCTATTGGCATGCTTTCCCGAGAGCCACTCTCGGCAAAGCGTCGCCACGTGGCAGCCGCCATCTCCATCTGCCATCCATGAGTTTACTTTATTTTGCCGACACGGGTCGTTTGGCTCTCGGCAAACTGTTTGCCGAGTGCCCGTGTTTTGGTTCTCGGCAAAGTTTTTTTTTGCCTGAGAGGTATACGTCGGGTGTCCTTGGCCGTGTGCAACTCTCGGCAAAGGCTTTGCCAAGGGTTTTTGGCCCTTTACCGAGTGTTTCCGGCACTTGGAAAACGTGGTGATTCCAGTAGTGACGTGCATTTTTAAATCATTGCGCGCCAAGGTGGGCATTAGGCACTAGAATGGCTAGTTGTTCTCGAAGACAATGGTTGGCCAAAGCCCACGAGAAATGATAAAAATCATTTGAAGAGCGTACCAGTGTTACATCATATGAATGCTGCACAATAGCTTCATAGGAGTGGTACCATAGATACGTTTGGTCAAAGAGTACAAACAGATGAGCCATCATGGCCCTAAATCATGTTGGACCTTTATTACCAAATACAGAAGGCAATAAAGCCTTATTACATGGCCAAGATAAGAGTCCTTTGTACTTGAAAATAATAAATATATAGTGAATAATGTATATATGGCGATACTACTACGAAGAGATCGCCCGCAGCTTAATTTGAGCACCATGCATGGGACGCAACATCATTACGGTATGTGGCGCATGAGTATACGACGGCGCGAGCTCAAACTCAAAGCGCCGAAGAATCATGCACAATGCCATCTTGGCCTCAAGCAGTGCAAAATTCTGACCGATACAGATCCGTGGCCCCCATCCGAACGGGAAAAATGCTCCCGGTTCCTTGGAAGCCTTGGAGATCCCCTCAGCGAACCTATCGGGCCTGAATTGGTGGACGTCGTCTCCCCAGATATCCTTGTCGTGGTGGATGTGCAACACGGACATCTCGAAAATCACACCAGGTGGGTACCTGATGCCTCTGATCTCAATCTCCTTGTATGTCTGCCGGGTGAACGCACTAGCCGGTGGGTACAACCGGAGAACTTCATAAAGAATCATTGTCACCTACACATCATATATTAATAAGATGCCGTACCTCCGATCCTATGTTTGCAACAACTCAAGTAATTTTAGTAAATACTCACAGTTTTGAGTCGATTAAGACCCTCGTAGTCAAGCTTATGTTTTCCAAATAGGCCAAGAACCTCCTCCCTTGCACGGTCCTGCCACTCTGGGTGCATGCTAAGTACCACCATCGTCCACGTGAGTAATATTGATGTTGTCTCCATTCCTGCAAAGTAGAACAGCTTGCACTCCTCTATTACCTCTTCAGTGGACATTCCTGGAACGGATTGGCCATTTTCATTTACGTCAGTCTTGTTTGACTCGAGCAATAAGCCGAGTAAGTCATCATTTGTGCTTTCTCCTTCTTGCATAGCTTGCATCCTTTTCCCAATTAGAGCTCGTAGAATGGACTCTATCTCGTTGTTAATTTGACGCATCCTTCGATTATTTTTAGTAGGGAAGGACCTAAAGTGCACTTGCGTTGTCAGTATACGAGTAAATAAGCACAAAGCACCCGACCGGTGGTGGTAAGGTGGAAGTAGTACTAACTAGTAGGATAAATTTCTATTTGTAAATACATGGCTTTCTAGAAGAAGAAGAAGAAAAAGAAAAAGTAACTCACATGTAACCGGGAATCATGATCTTGTGAATGGCTGCCATGAACCGTCCGACCTGCTCAGACTGCAGTTGAAAAATCCTTCTTCCTTCGAGATAACTGCTGCCGAATGCGGTGCGTGAGATGACATCTCCGGTGAGGCTCTGGAGCTCTAGGGAAGCATCCACCTCGCATGACCCGTCGGGACCAAGGGACTGTGTCCATTTGTTGACAAGCTCTTCACAACACAAAGAGAAGGCTGGCAACATGATCTGTATGTAAATTGAGCGAGCGAATGATCAGTCACGCAGTAGATTTGTCACAGATGCTATCAGAAAGAGCTAGGTGCAACTGCGCAGGTATGTAGTTACCTTGAGCTTCTCAACATGGAACGCAGGGTTGAGTATCCTTCTGTGCTTGACCCATTTCTCGCCCTCGTGGGTGGCCACGCCCACGGCGAGGAGCTTGGATAGCGCGGGGAACTTGACCTTCTGGATGTGCCCGAACTTGTTGGACATGATCTCCCTGACCAGGTTAGGATCGGTGATGCTCACCTTGGGAACCGGACCGAACCAGGAGATGCACTGCTTGCCGTGCTCCTGGACGGTGCTGTAGAGGAAAGGCAGGACGTGTGCACCGATGTCGTGGCAGCGCAGCGGCAGAGGCTTCGACCACGCCTCCTTGTTTTGCCTGCCGTAGTCGCTCATGTCGCCGAGGAGGAAACTGTACGACGTCCCACGGAGGCCCTGGGCGCGAAGAGCCCGCTCCAGCCGCCTCGGCCGCCACCATAGCTGGTCTAGCAGCCGGGTGGTCGGCCACAGGAGCGCCAGGCCCAAGAGGCCGCAGGCGAGGTAGCTCCATGGTAGTGCTGCTGGACTTAATACCGATTCAGGATTCATTGCTTCCCTCTCGTGGGATGGATTGGATTGGCATTCACAACTCTGAATATATATGTACAAGTGTCACTAGCTAGGACAGATAAGTCTTGTCTGCTCATTTGTTTATGTTTCTTGCGCTGCAATTAATGGTGTGGCATGTGGACATCTTAGTCAACCAGACGCCAGAGTCAATGCCTCGTTCCAAAGGAACTTGGCCGGCAAGAAACTCTATTTTTTTCAACAATATCCATTAGCTACAGGGGTGACGTCATCTGAATGGGTACAGCGGTGGTGCCTCCGTGAAATCATAGTTTTGTGTGTGAAAGAACTCCCTGAGGCTGAGTATTCTAGCTACAGGGGTGACAGAAGATGGGCTTCATATATACTATTGGGCCATCTCATTGATTCTTTTCTTAGCTGGCCTTCTGGTTGATTTCGATGAATATATAAATGCCCAGCTCTATACCTCTAGCATCTTCTTGCATCCATACATCCATGTGCTAATAAAAACCCTCTCTTGATGCCCTTCGGGTGTATTTCTTCAAAAATAAATACCTGTCTCATCTCGTATATAAATGAAAATATTATATCTGATAACATCTACACTCCTATAATACCAAAAAATATCTGAGTTAGAATCAAGTAACCACCAGACAGGCACGGGTCACCGCTGTTGGGGGACGGGCAGGAGGCCCTTTCCCTAGCAGAGCTTCGCGCGAGGAGGTCATCGCCTTTGGTGGGATCCCGGATCCTGTCTCTGAGGGGAGGCGGATCAGTGGGAGGCTGCAGGAGCAGCCGGACGTTGATGACATGCAGCTGTCTGTTAATAAATCGAATTCAATTATGCATTTTACCAATGATGAGATTGTTCACAATGCAAACCAACTAGGAGTATCGCTTGGTAATAATGATATGGAGATCTCTAGGTCAGTTAATGACATTCTTGATTTGGAAGTTGAACGAGCGTTAGAAATGATTCGTAACATAGCTGTCGTTAAGCCTATGAATGAGTCGGAGATTGATGCGCTTGGGGTTAGGGCTCTTGATGGTTTGTGTGCCGATCTTGACCCTTCGTTACCGGAGACGGAGGAGGAGGAGGGGTTTGCCTATCCTGAGACCTCTAACCATGTAGATGAGTCTTTGGTGATTGCTGCAGAGCCCGAGTGTGGTGACCGATCTGAAGATCGCATTAAGCCTAAACGGACTTAGAAACGGAAGGTTTATCCAGTGTCGTCTGTGCGTAGAAGTGCTAAGATCCGTACCTATAAAAAATTTCATGATGAAATATGAGAGGCATTTTCTGGAATAGCAGAGGTCTTAAAGACTTGGCTAAAAGAAGGTTTCTAGCGGATGCTTCTTTTGAACATCATTTGGATTTTATTGCTTTGTCTGAGACTGGAAGAGACAACTTCACCTCACAATTTCTTAGCACTTTATCGGGGGGGGGGGGGTAGATTTCGACTGGCATTGCCTGCCCCCGCGAGGAAGATCCGATGGGGTTTTACTTGGGGTTAAGTGTGAGACTTTGGAAGTTCGGAGTGTAGTTTTGGGAGAGTTTGCGGTAAAGTTTCGGGTCAGAACTAAGGCCGATGGATTTGATTGGGCTTTGGTGGCGGTTTACGGAGCCGCGCAACCAGAACTCAAGCCAGATTTCTTGGACGATCTGGTCCGTGTCTGCGGTAACGAGCAGCTCCCTATCTTAGTGGGGGGTGATTTCAACATTATTCGAAGAAGGGAGGACAAGAATAATGAGAATTTTGACGGCAGATGGTCGTTTATGTTCAATACCATCGTTGAAAGCTTGGATCTCAGAGAGATAGAGCTCTCGGGTAGGAAATTCAGTTGGGCTAACTCGTTACCGGTACCGACTTTTGAGAAGCTTGACCGTGTTTTAGCTAGTGTCGAATGGGAACAGAAGTTTCCCCTGGTAACAGTGCAGGCGTTGACACGAGGTATCTCGGATCACACGCCGTTACTAGTTGACTCGAGGGCTCAAACAGATGTGGGTAACAAGAATATTTTCTCGTTTGAACTTGCATGGTTTGAAAGAGAAGGGTTCCTCGAGTTGTTAGCTAGAGAGTGGGCTAAAGGCTCAGGAGGAAGGTCGCCCATTGAGCGATGGCAATGCAAGATTCGTCATCTTCGAAGGTTCCTTCGTGGATGGGCTAAGCATACGCATGGGATTTATAAGGCGGAGAAGGAGCGACTCCTTCTACTTATTCAGACCCTAGAAGTAAAAGTTGAAACTTCTATCTTAGGTACCAGTGAGCTGGAAACTAAGATGGAGGCTGAGTTGCGGTTGAAAGAGCTTCTCCGCGAGGAGGAATTGAAGTGGGTGTTGCGAGCTAAGGTTCTCAAAATCGTCCAAGGCGAGGATAACACTCAATTCTTTCATTTGATTGCTAATGGGAAGCATCGTAAGAAGAGAATTTTCCAATTAGAACAAGACGAAGGAACGATAGTTGGTCAAGAAAACCTGAAAGTTTACATTACCAACTATTATAAGCAGTTGTTTGGACCTCCGGAAGAGAATTTTGTGTCCTTAGATGAGTCAAGGGTTGAGGATGTTCCTCAACTTGAGACTGACGAGAATGAGATTTTGACTGCTCCCTTTACGGAGAAAGAGGTGTTTGAGGCCATCGCACAAATGAAAAATAATAAGGCTCCAGGACCGGATGGGTTTCCAGCGGAGTTTTATAAAAAGTGTTGGCACTTCATTAAGGGAGACCTGATGCCGATGTTTCATGAGTTTTTTGCTGGACAACTTCATTTGTTTAAGCTGAATTTTGGAACGATAACTCTTCTTCCTAAGAAGACAGAGGCTGTTCGCATTGAGCAGTTCAGGCCTATATGTCTGCTTAATGTTAGTTTCAAAATCTTCACCAAGGTCGGGACGAACAGACTTACGCATATTGCGCATTCTGTTGTGCAACCGTCCCAGACTGCTTTCATGCCAGATAGAAATATCCTTGAAGGGGTTGTCGTCTTGCATGAAACGCTCCATGAGATTCACTTTAAAAAACTAGATGGCGTTGTTTTTAAAGTGGATTTTGAAAAAGCATACGATAAAGTTAAATGGCCTTTCCTTCAACAAGCTTTGCGTATGAAAGGATTTGACAAGGCCTGGAGAAACCAGATTGAATCCTTTACGCAAAAAGGGAGTGTAGAGATTAAAGTGAATGACGACATAGGTCACTATTTCCAGACACACAAAGGGTTAAGGCAAGGAGATCCCATGTCACCCATCCTATTCAACATAGTGGTTGATATGCTGACAATTTTAATAGGACGGGCTAAGGATGCGGGGCAGGTAGGTGGCCTTGTTCCGCATCTAGTTGATGGAGGTATTTCCATCCTTCAGTATGCTGATGATACTATCATCTTTATGGAGCACGACTTAGCGAAAGCGAGAAACATGAAGCTTGTGTTATGCTTATTTGAACAATTGTCCGTGCTCAAAATTAACTTCCACATTAGCGAATTGTCTGTTTTGGAAGATCTAATGATGACCAGGAGGCTTATAAACAATTGTTCGGATGTGAATTGGGCACGTTACCGTTCACGTATCTAGGTATACCCATTCATCATCGTAAGCTGACTAACAAAGAGTGGAAATGCATCGAGGATCGTTTTGAGAAGAAACTGAGCTGTTGGAAAGGGAAGCTCATGTCATATGGAGGGCGATTAATTTTGATTAACTCGGTCCTCACCAGTATGCCTATGGTTCTCCTATCCTATTTCGAGGTCCGGTGGGTGTCAGGAAGAGGCTAGACTTCTATCGATCTCGATTCTTTTGGCAGAGTGATGAGCTTAAATGAAAGTATAGGCTTGCTAAATGGGATATAATCTGTAGGCCGAAGGACCAAGGGGGTCTAGGTATTGAAAATCTGGAAGTCAAAATCAGATGTCTCCTTAGCAAGTGGCTGTTTAAACTTTCGTCCGAGACGGAGGCTACTTGGACTCAGATTTTGCGAAATAAGTATCTTCAGTCTAAAACCTTGGCCCAGGTGACAGTGAGGCCGACTGACTCACCATTTTGGAAAGGCTTGATGAGAGTCAAACCACTCTTTTTCAACAGGACAAGGTTCTTAGTCGGAAATGGAGCTAATACGAGGTTCTGGGAGGATACGTGGCTTGGGGAGACTCCCCTTGAACTTCAGTATCCTACGTTGTATAACGTTGTTCAACGTAGAGAAGCTTACGTTGCAACCGTTCTACAATCCACTCCCCTCAATATTAGTTTTCGGAGGACGCTAGTTGGAAATCGTTGGGAGGCCTGGCTTCATTTGTAAGACATTTGATGGATGTCCAGCTGTCTCAGCAGCCAGATCAGTTGTATTGAAAACTAACTAAGCACGACGTGTTCTCGGTCAAATCCATGTATGTGGATGTCATAAACTCTAGCGTCATTCCTTCCTCTCGAAGCACGTTTGGAAAGTAAAGGTACCTTTGCGAATCAAAGTGTTTATGTGGTTTGTGCATAAACAAGTTATTTTGACTAAGGATAATCTGGCAAAACGCAACTGGGTAGGTTCTGCAAGATGTAGTTTTTGTGACCATAACGAAATTATCAAACACCTCTTTCTTGATTGTCCGCTGGCTAAAATTCTGCGGCGGTCGATTCATATTGCTTTTAATATTAATCCGCCTACTTCCACCAACACGTTATTTGGAACGTGGCTTGATGGGGTTGACTCAGATACAGCGAGGCACATTCGTGTTGGCGTTTGTGCTTTATTATGGGTTGTCTGGAACTGCAGAAATGATTTGGTTTTTAACAGATCAACGGACATTCACTTTTTGCAGGTTATCTTCAGGGCCATGGCGTTGATCCCTATGTGGTCGCTACTCACTCCGACGGAGGCTAGAGAGCGTTTGGTTACTGCGTCTACCCGATGGGAGATGGTAGCTCGGGATATTTTCAACCGGTTTGGATGGCGGTCATGTAATAGGATAGGCATGTAGTGCTCCTATTTTATTTGCCAGCCGGTTGTGGCTTTTTGTTTAGCTCTTATGAGCAT